TAAATGTTCATTGTGGCTTCTTGTCTTTTTTTTCCTTTTTTTTTTCCCCCCATCTGTGGTTCTGCCAGTTACCTTCAGGCATAATATTTGCATGTAAATTATTCGGTTATAGGAGGAAGGAAAAAAAATAACTGTTAGGATTTGTCTGTGGGGGTCTCTTCATCACAAATGCCACCAAAGTCCTGGCGCCAAATGCCCGGTTCAGGAGGTTGAGGCAGGTCCCAGCGTGGCGCCTCTCGGGTGGCCCCTCTGACCTGCTCTTTGGATGCCTTCAGCGGTGCTCGTCTTTCTTGCCTGATAAGGACTGGAGACTGATTCAGACAATCCAAATTCTGCCTTTGGCCTTCAGTGTCTTAAAAAGAGGGTTTAATGAAGAGATTAATATGGAGATACTATATTTTAATGTCCACATAACTCATAATGTTCCACAATGCAGATGCTGGATTAATAGGGTAGGGGATGGAACTTAGTAAAAATTTGATGTGATTTGCTTTTAATAAACTTTTATTCTTTTTTTTTTTTTTTTTTTTTGCCTCAAACAGACTATGTTTTAAAGATTACAGAATACCAAAGCAAGCAACTTTTAAGGGGAGCTCGTCTTCTGGGGTTTGCATCATCTGTGTTCACATAGTACATTTCTGCAAAGAACAAAGTTTAATGCCTCTGTTTTAATTTGGCTACTTCAGTTGCCCCCATCGCTACCCCAGAGTTGAGGTTTTGCTGGCAGGAACTGGTCTTTGATATGGAAGTGGTCACTGATATGGTTCTGCAGTCTGTTTTATTTCTCTGTGGTCTTGGCAGTTGCAGAGACGTCTTGACAGCCATCTTTAAGAGTCCCTTGAAAATTAGTATTTTTAAAAATTACAGAATTGCCTTAAATTCTTCGTAGTTTCGACTGTGTGTGAAGATGTCTCTGCACATGGAAGTTACTTCAGATTAAGGAGAAATATATTTAAAAGGACAATAATTATTTTAAAATAGCTTCATATCTGGACATATTTATTACAGAATAAATCTGCCTTATTTTTCTGCATTAGCTTAATCCACTTGCAAAGTAGACCGGCTTATTTCTTCCAAATACATTGGGATGCAGGCAGAACCTTCAGCCTGGGAGAAGCCTCTCTCAGACTTTGGCGTGATAAAGCAGCACTTAAGGACTGCAGGCTGGTTTCTTCGAACACAAAGGGAAATTAACAGCTAGTGCTTGTTCAGGGGATTTCATTAGCACCAGGGCTGTACGGTTCTCATGTCCCACGGTGAGATCACTGGCATTATGCCTCTGTAATTTGAGATCAGTATCTACCTACTTACCAGGAGCAGAGGCAGAGAGAGCTGGGGTGTTTTAAATGAGGTGCAAGAAGCACCAGAGGGAACCTCCCCTGCGTGGCAAAGCCGGTGGGTCTCCACTGCCTCCTGTCCCCGGGGGCTCCCAGCCTCCGGCCACGTTCAGCTCAACCTCTCACACAAAATAAACCAGTATCTGCTGGAAAATCAGGTTGAGCCCAGGTCTGCTTTGAAAGTCTGATACTGGGTTTCATCGTGGAAGAGGTGTTCTCACACTGAAAAGGTGGGTGTTTTGCAAGCTCTACCCGACAGTGGAGTTCTACTGGGAACAGGGCACCGATAGACTGCCTTTCACTGTAGTTGCTGATGTCTTACACACGCAGCCTGTATTTGACCTTGTCTGCTTTCATTGATCTAAGAACTAGCAGCGTCTCATTTTCATGGAGATTCATTTTACATTAAGGTATCTGTGTTCATGGAAACAGCACACCTTTTCTGCAGATTAAAATTAATTTAAGATTAATAAAATTAAAATTAATAATTGAGGGGGTTGTTTTGGGGTGTGTGTGGTTCTGTTTTTTCAGTTTTTCTCTGTGTGTTTCCCATTTCGGATGAAGTGAGCCAATATACTGAGATGTGACATACAGTGTTGTGTCTATTCAAAACCATTCTCTGTGGAAGCTGTATACCGTAGCTGTTGTAAATAAAACAGATACTGGCCATTTATCCATGTGTCCGCAGCCCTCATTTCTCCCTCCCTGGGTGCTTTCTTAGGTCCTTGGAGCTGGCTGCTACACACAGGCCTGTTCTAAAGCTCTCTGTAATATAGGATCTCACTGAATGCATCTCTGCAGTGGAGTCTGTCTGTCTGTCATGCTCTTCATCGCAGGTTGGTAATGTACCTGACTTGAGTGGCTGTTGGGACCAAAAATTGTCCTTTTCTTTGCAGCCCTCATGGATACTTCAAAAGAAAATTACTTAGTGGACTTCAGCTCATGGTTTTGCCTTCTAGATGGCGTTTTGTTTACAAGTACATCTGCACTTGCCACACGCAGAATTCACACATGTAACTGTTGTGGCCAGAAATGGCCTTTCCCGCTTTAACACCAAGGCAATGCCAGTGCTCCTTGTGTGGATTTAAAGCTGTTCGACCCCTCAGGAGAGGCCTCAGAATGGGTTTCACAGTGTGGGCTCGGCTGGACGAAGGAGTATTTGCTTTGCAAGAGCTCCTTTTTCAGTCTTAAACTTTTTGAGCTAACAAACCTGAACCGGGAGGTAAGAACGCTGGGTATTGGTGTGGTGAGGTTGTATGTAGCCTTTTTTCTCACTGAAGTGCTAGAGTTACTTGGTGAAACTACAGAAGCATCGCGGAGAACCCAGACCTGTGAATCTCTGCCAGAGATGGCTCTGAGAAGGCCCTTTTTGTGAACATACATGCTGTTTCCCTCCTCAGCATCCCATCAGTTCTGGGGCTGTTCTTGTTTCTTTTTCTTGTAGTTTCTGCCTTTGCTGTTTGTTTCAGATTTGTCTGCCATCTTGCAAAGAGTTTTGCCCACTTCCTGGTTAAGAGACCTGTCTCCTCTCAGCACGCCTTTCGTACAAGGCAACGTGTTCATGTTTTCATGTGTAAAATGCCACCCAAGTTGAACACTGGGCACATATTGCTCCCCCTTTTTAAGGACGCAAATCATTCAGACAGTGGTTTTCACTCCGTGGCTGAAAGGACTTGAGATTATACGTCCCTGCCAAATTTCAAATGTATCTGGTCATGCTGAGGCACAAGGGCTATTCACATAGAGGTGACAACAACTTGTATCATACTAAGAACATTTATTTTTCATCATCTTTAAAATCTTTATCACCTGTCCGCAGTTTCAAAAACTGCAAAAACATTTTTCTTTTCTTTTTTTTTCTGCTTCACTGACAGAGAACAGACCAGGAAATCATCATCTAAAAAGGCCAAGTCTGGTAAAGTAATAAACAGTTAAAAAAGACTACCTGGAGTGCAAAATTTTCCCAAGCATTTAATATCAGGTCTAGCTTTAATTTCTAGGCTTAACTATTGAAAAAAATGTGTGCATTTTACTTAGAGTTTGTTATGATAAATATTTTTGGTGGAAATTGCAAGACTGCTTTTGTAACTAACTTGAGCCCTCAGTGAAGTTTTATTTAGCTCAAATTATATCTATTAGGACACAACATGCATGGGTATCACTGTAATAGGAATTAACTTTCAAATAATTCTCACTCTGCATGGATGGGAAGAATCACATCATTACCTGAAGAGAACAGAAATTCCTGTGAATCGTGCTGGAAAGAACTACATATTTCAGAAAAGGTGAAATCTGGGTCCTTTTTGAAGTTGCTATGAAGAAAGCAAGTATCAGCACTAGTTCTGTGTCTCAAAACCATATAAAATATGAGCTTGTGTTGTACAACAAAGCAATCCCCTAAAAACCTAGAAATCAAAATAGAAAGTCCTTTGATAGATGAAAGTCGGCGTCTTCTTAAAATTCGTTATCTATAACATTGCCTATGGACACTGCACCGTGGCAAAATGAAATGTTCAGCGCCGTTTTCCCTGTACAAATACCTAGCAGCTTCTTCTAAAAAGCAAACAGAAATTCACCTCAGTCGCCTGAAGACCACACGGTGCTTCACACAAAAGATTCGCCACCTCATCAAAAATTCATATGTGATATTTGACCTAACTCATGCCTCCCGCAAGTAGTTAAGTTAAAATGCCTTTGCTCTCCTTTGATGGGAGGGCTCCCGCCATCTTGAAGGGGTGCGTTGGGCAACCTGCGGCCGGCGTGAGAGCTCACGGGTGGGATGGTGTCTGCCCTGCCGGGGGCATCCCAGCCACTCTTCAGCTCACTCGGTGGTCGAAGGGCTGCAGGAGGCGTGGGCCGTAGGTCTAAGCAGCCCCTAGCAGAGGGGGTTTGTGGAATGTGCCCTACCTGCTGGGCTGTGTGTTGCTCTGGGTTGAGAAGCGCTTGTTGGGGTGGAGGCGGTATGGGGCTGGCCGTGGGCATCAGGGTTGCTGGCTTCTGCGGGAGAGGGCTGGGGTGGGTGGGAAAAGCAGGTGGGGGTTTTCCTGCAAAAAATTGCCCCCTCCTTCCTTTGGGGGCCAGGACGCTGTGATTTTCAACAAGGGAGTGCTCAGTTATGCAGGTAAATTAGGCTAACTGGCCCCTTCCCTTGGGATGCATCATCTTTGACTGAGCTGTTTGCGGTTTCCCCTGTGTTACTGGTAGAGGCCTGTCCTTCGTCATTCAAGAAGTTTGCAGGATATTGTGCTGCCGATTGGATTTTTTTCCCTGTATGTATGAAGTAAACCATCCCTGAGCTGACTTGTAACAGCTGTCACCTTACTCTGTAACAAAGTTAAGGTGAAAATTTTAAAGGACAGATTACTGCAGGATTACAAAATGCATGCAAATAGAAATGAGAAACTTTCTGAACTGGGTGTTTGTCTTTCGTGTCATCAACTTCAGTCTTTCGTGAACTGTTAATACTGGAAAACTATAGTGCAGTAAATAATGGCAGATGCTTTGCAGTTTTTATTTCCACACAGAGTTTGCTTTTGAGATTGTTTACTGGCCTGGCTTGAGTGGTCTGTCAAGTGTACGCCTCTTTAAAATACATCTTAACTTCTTAATCATGTTACTATTGGGAACTAACCTTCCGTTATTTCTTTTTCTTCATATAGTTTTCCCTACACAAAATGGAAAGGTTGCTATAGTGACTGGAGGTGCTAAAGGAATTGGTTACCAAACCGTGAAGCATTTGGCACAACTTGGCATGCACGTTATAATAGGTAAAGTCATTATTTTCTTGATATATTTTTTGTTTCAGAAAGTATTTTTTTTTCTTTTAAGGAGTATTTTCTTTCCAGCATAAGTAAAGATATGGCAGGGGAAGGTGGGAGAGGGTTTTTCTATCATTTAGCACAAATAAAGATTTGATTTGTTTTGCTTTGCAAGATCTTAAAGAAAAGTGGATGGGATTTTTTTATGCAAAACTTGGAAGAGTTGGACTACCTTATATAAGAAGTAAACAATAAGGTCATGAAAAAGACTTAAAAATATGGGTATTACAAAAAAAAATTATTATCTTGTTACTGAGGATGGACTATGCTTCAATGTTAGGGTGCATGTGTTCATTAAGAAGAAAACTAATTAAAGCCTCGAAGGAATATTCCAGTGTGTAGTGGGGGATGATCCATGTTATAAGGACAGAGGAAGCCTTATAACTTCATCCATGTAAAAATTGCACATTTACTTCTCAGTTTGTCACTGTAGGTGGCCTTTGTAGGCAAGGCAAGGAAATAAATACCCTGAGAGATTCATTCATGTCAGTCTGAGACGGGCTGGACAACTCACCTTCTGGAGGTGCCTGTTTCTCTCCATTGATGATGAAGAGTTTATAAGGTGACTGTGTTAGACTGAGACATCTGAAGTTAGGATAGGTGAATTTCTGTAGGAACTTTAACTAGATTTTTACCTAAAACACTGTAACTTTTACACCATAAGGTTGCTGAAGGTTGGTATCTCACAATACACTAGCAAGCTCGTGATACCATTTTATTTAGCTTTTATACAGAATGTGCTCTCTGTAAGTTTTGTATACCCATCTTTTGAAAAAAACCCCACAAAACAACAAAACACACCAAACAATAAACAAGAGCATGGTAGCCATGTATTTTTAGTCTAGTGCAGTCAGTAACACTAATGGAGTCGCCCTGGAATCGTACAGGTGTAATGTGGAGTACCACTTACTCATATATGTTTTAACAGATGTGCCAAAACCAAGCATCTGCAAAAATGCAAACAGATGCTGCTATATGTAAATAGATGCTAGATGTAGCTAATGAGCTAGATGTAGCTAATGATGCCAGCATTAATATTTCACTAAAGAAGTCTCTTTTCATGTTTAAGGTGGACTGCAAAAATGTACTCAGTGGGAAAACAAAAAAGGCCAATTTTCTTCTCTTCTCATAGGGTCATGGAAGCATTGAACATTGCTACTTTTTTGAAGACTTATTTTATACCATTTAATGTTTAGGGTATTTCATGTAACAAAATTCAGTGTGAGATCTTTGGGAAAGGGAAGGTGTTATTTAACTACAAAATCTCTAAACAAGCTGATTTTTTCAACGCACAATCACCCTTTCATAGATCTCATTCACTCACACTCACACCCATACTCTCACAAGCACCAAGACGTGAGTGCTCAAATGGTCTGGTGAGCATCACTGGTGCAGTGTGGGAAAAGGTACGCCAGCTACTGAGTCCTTATCTTGTCTCTGTGGTTCATGGACCGATCTTTTATACCCTTTAGGAGTCATCAGCTCTTAGTACATTTTTCCTTGTCTGGAGTATATAGGCTATGTCTATAGCCTATCTTCTGTGTGGGCTAACAGGAAAAGTAATGGTAGGGGTAATATGCTGCCACCTGGATGTTATCCTCCTGGTGGCAGAGTGCATGGTAATCTGCTGGCAAGTCCTCTGTGCCATGGCCTTGACATAAACAACACAGGAACAGTGTCCTGGAAACACGTCCTTTATTTTCAGTAAGGGGCATTCTTTTATCTCTCTGCTCTGCTGTTTCTTCTGGTGCTTACAGACACACACACACTCATTCACCCTTCAATTGTACCAGCCTTAATATTTGCATTATGAATCTCTACAAATGTAAATTAATGAAATTAATTATAGGAAGCATTTGATGAGTAAGATTTTCAACTGATTCAATTCTTTCAGGCAAACTCTGACCTAAACACTGAGCCTGGTGAGTCACAGCCATCTTTGCCTGTGAAATTCTTCAGAGCGAAGAAGCCCTGTCAGTAGAATGGATAGTCTCAGGCTTTGTTCCAGCTGCAAGATTAAAACAGTCTCAAAAGCACATTAAATGCAATGACCTTCCATCCTTGTTGCTAACTGTTGGCCCCAACTGTCCAGAGTATGCTTAAAATACCTGCTGGCATATTGGCATGCGTTAGCACGTTCAGCTTCAGGCCACGCAAGCAAAGATTTAAGCCTCAAATAAGACAGCAAGTGTGCTCAAGCTTTCTCCTCTGGAAATGTTTTCACCCTATGTTTGTATATAGGCATGAATTTACGTGACAAAAGTGTGGATGTTGTTAGGTGAATTTGGGCTTGCAAGGGAGACTCATGCGTAGCTCACAGATAATCTTGCCCATTCACTCAATGCTTCTTTCCCACCACAGGGACTAAGTAATGGGAATATTTAGCAATAAAGAATGATATCCCTGCAGCGGGCAAATGAGTCAAACCTGAATGTCTGATGTGAAGATGATTCACCATTTGTGATGGATGTGATTTTGACTCCATTTGAGATTTTAGAGGGGTAAATGTTTGAAGTAACTTACTTTTAAATCCAATCTACCTGTGGAATGAGGAAAACAAATAAGTAGAAAGCATGTTACCTTGTGGAACATGAATAGTCAGCACATGAAAAGGCAGTGTGCTCCCTCAGAGCATTTTCAGCAAGTGGTTGCACAGTGCTTTTACAGCTTATTCCTTTCCAGTCCCAGCACTGGTGCACAAGACTCCTTTGTCCCACTGATGGTCTCCCTCTGCGGATGCTGCTAGCCCTGCCTCAGCCTCTTGCTGAGAAAAAGGTCAGCGTGAATGCTGGAATGATGAAAGTAATTTTCTACGGGTTTGTTTGATAGGTTTCATTGAGATTTTTTGCCAAGCTGCGATAGCATTACTCACAGTGAGCAGGGCTTTTACTTCAGAAAAATCTCAACGACAGACAGCTGGGACCCCTGGTAGGGAAAGTTACTGCCAGTAGTGAGTCTTCAGAGTCAAGCCACAGCAGGAGCTCCTGCTCCCTCCTATGCAATTTAGTACTTGATAAATAAGCTTGCAATTTCATTTTCAGAGAGAGAAGGTAAATGACACACTGTTTTTGGGACCTACTGACCAGTGACTGATATTGAAGATGGTGTTTCTTGTGCACTTACAAATAAATATGCTCTTAACAATAAGGACATTGAAAATCAAGACATCTTAGTCGTTTTTATGACCCCCAGCTAGGTTCAGCTCTAGTTCAGTCTTGGCCACAGTTCTGTGGGTCTGAATTTAGACTGATTAGAAGCGTAAACTCTTCATATTCCTTGACCCCTATATTCCATATGGGGTTTAATTTTAAGAGGATTCTGTGACTGCATGTTAAAATTGTTGGTTAATATGGTCTATAAACCCCATATTCCACTGGGGTTTAATTTTAAGAAGGTTCTGTGAGTGCATGTTAAAATTGTTGAAGAGAATTGAAAAGAGAGCTTCAGTTTGATTTTTCCTTTTTTTCTCAGTACCTTAATGAAAGAAGGCTGGAAAAAAAGTGTGATAATATCTAATATAGAAGCTTTGATAATCCTGTCTGTTAATGGTGAATGAAAATCTCCAGCTTGACAATGTTATACGTATGCTGCTTGGTATAAAACAACAGGTTCAGGACAGTGTAATCAGTCTTTGGTGTCTGAGTATATCAGTGTCAGAGTTTTCTAAGACAGGCTCACATTCTGAAGGAAACAGTCTCTTTATATTTATATGAATGTATATATATCCAAGTGACTTATTTGAGCCATGCAATTTTGGCATAAATAAATGTAGTTCCATCACCAGACTCAGCACTTCTGTGTGACCTCTGTAAGCCCTGCAGGAGACCAAGCAAGAGAGATTTCTGTCATCTCTTTATTCACATTAGTTTCCAATTTTCAAGATGGACTCTCTGCACTATAAATCAGACAATTCTTATATTGCATAATACTACAAAGTGACTTTAGAAGGATAATTAAACCCTATCAAGATGGTGCAATTGTTCATTTTCAAAGATGGTTTGATTTAATTTCAATTACTGAAAATTTATATGGGATACTTTAATAGTCTTTTCTCACTATACATAGACGTAGGAGATAAGCTTGAGTTACACATTTTTCTATAAAACTATTTATCTTCCTAATTTTAGCCAGGTTTTGTTAGGCCTGAATGAGTTGTAGAGTTAGTCAGGAAGTGTCAAAATGTTACCAGCCTTTTAAAAGTGGGTGATACCTTTTTCTGGTATGAACTGAGAAAATGTGTGTGGATTGCCTTGTAATTGTCATTCAGTTCAGTTTTTAACATATCAGTACACTGTAATCAGGGTTATTGTCCTGGTTTCGGCTGGGATAGAGTTAATTTTTGCCCTAGTAGCTGGTACAGTGCTGTGTTTTGGATTTAGCATGAGAATAATGTGATAACACACTGATGTTTTAGTTGTTGCTAAGCAGTGCTTATACTAAGTCAAGGACCTTTCAGCTTCCCATACTCTGCAAGCGAGGAGGTGCACAAGAGCTGGGAGGGAGCAGAGCCAGGACAGCTGACCCAAACTGGCCGAAGGGATATTCCGTATCACTCCATACCATATGACATCATTCTCAGTATATAAGCTGGGGGGACTTGGCCGGAGAGCAGCGATCGCTGCTTGGGGACTGACTGGGCATCGGTCTCTTGTTGTTTTCCTTCTCGCTACAATTTCTATTATTATTTTATTTCAATTATTAAGCTGTTCTTATCTCAACCCAGGAGTTTTCTCACTTTTGCTCTTCTGATTCTCTCCCCCATCCCACCAAGGAGGGAGGGAGGGAGTGGCTGGGTGGTGCTTGGTCACTGACTGGGGTTAAACCACGACAGTTATGAACTACTCCACCTACAGTGCTCTCTGTTATTTATACACTATGCGTGTGCACGCAGCCACACAAAGCCTTCCAAATCAGTAAGAATTTTGTGAAACACTTTAGTCCCTAATTTC